CCACGGGGGGCCAGTATGAAAAAAATAAAATAATGTATGCACTCACTAACTGTAAATCGCTCTGGATAAGAGCGTCTGCTAAATGACTAAAATGTCAGATGTAGACAGACAGACATACAGACAGATAATAACAGTTGGTGTTTAGTAAACAAGGAAGTATTTTGTCTTGATTTGACCATTTCAATGAATCATCTCTCTCCATACCCCCATATCCCTCTCTCCATACCCCCATATCCCTCTCTCCATACCCCTCTATCCCTCTCTCCATACCCCTCTATCCCTCTCTCCATACCCCCATATCCCTCTCTCCATACCCCCATATCCCTCTCTCCATACCCCTCTATCCCTCTCTCCATACCCCTCTATCCCTCTCTCCATATCCCTCTCTCCATACCCCTCTATCCCTCTCTCCATACCCCTCTATCCCTCTCTCCATACCCCTCTATCCCAATCTCCATACCCCTCTCTCTGTCCCTCCCCCTCTCCCTCCCTTCTTCCCCCTCCTGGTGCAGACAGACTACAGGAGCTTCCCAGAAACAGTAATTACATTCACTATTAATGAGACACGTTCATTCTGGACCAATTTAATGCTCTTAATAATGCATACTCTCTGGAATTGTCTGTGCGTATATTACACTGTGCATATCAAACACACACACACACACACACTCTCTCTCTCCATGTCCTCCTGTAAGAGAGATATCTGGTGGTTCGGTCATGTTATTTGTCTGGCCTCAGGCTTAATACTCTCCAAGGAAATATGAGAATGTATCATGCAGGAGTGTTTGTCTCAGCGGTTGTTTAAGAAGCTAAAAGTCACAGTTACATCTCTACAAATGGACAATAAATGACTCTTCCCCTTCTTCCATCTTTCATTTATGTCTGGCAGGCTTTAGTGCCTGTTGCACTGATTTAACCTAGGGCTCTATTTAATCTGTAAATCTGAAGCATTACAGATTCTGCGATATAAGTGTAAAGGTTATTCCGATTGAGCCGACATATGTAGCGTTTACCGAGAATGCAGTCTCCGCTAAAGCAGGAACATTGTCTTTAAATGTCAATCACGCTGTAAAGCTGAACTTCCACAATGCGTGTTGAATAGTCCCTACTTTATGAAGGGTGCCAAGTATTTACGCCAGAGCTGTTTAGTGTTGGTCCTGGAGGCCCAAAACACTTCTGTTTTTCATCCTCTCCTTCTAATAAGAGGTGAGTGCATTTAACTACCAGAAGTGTTTCGGCCCTCCAGGACCGGAATTGAACTGCCCTGGTTTACACAGTAATAAGATTAGGATGTTACCAACCGTCAATTCAACGTCTATTCCGTGTTTCATTGAAATGACGTGGAAACGACATTGACTCAACCAGTGTGTGCCCAGTGGGCTGTCATCATCAGCCTCTCTTTCACTGTAATTGCAATGGCCCCTTCACACTGAAACAGATCGGTTTAAACAATGCAATTGGCCACAAATTGGTGCCATCAGTGGCCTGGTGTGATAGCTCCTCTCCCTGTGACCAATTACAATTAGCAAAAGATAATTGTAGCATCAGTAATAATTTCATAGATTTCTTCCAGAAAGTGGATGGTCGTGAACCAATCCTGAGAAGCACATAAAGTGAGAAAGAAAGAGCATGCCAATGCCATCACCAGTAACAGCAAGTAGTTAATCTAACAGTGTCCCTACTGAGAAGTGATTGGCCAGTCTGACTCTGGCTCTGACAGCTTGTTTTAGCCCAGTGACACATGATTGGCTGTTCAGACCCTTACTGAGAAGTGATTGGCTTGTTTGACTGGTCAGGCCCAGTGACTCATGATTGGCGGTTGAGTCCTCCAGTGGGACAGCAGGTGGGCATAAGGAGCATTGGAGGTCAGGTTTTGATGGCAGGGCGGTGAAGAGGGAGAGCCCTGTAGTGGAGCAGGGAAGGGAGCAAGGAAAGGAGAGGGGGCAGGAGAGAAGGAAGGAGGAAGGGAAGGAGAGGACTGGGGGCAGGAGGGAGGAAAGGAGTGGGAGCAGGAGGGAGGAAAGGAGTGGGGGCAGGAGGGAGGAAAGGAGTGGGGGCAGGAGGGAGGAAAGGAGTGGGAGCAGGAGGGAGGAAAGGAGTGGGGGCAGGAGGGAGGAAAGGAGTGGGAGCAGGTGGGGGGGAAGGAGTGGGGGCAGGAGGGAGGAAAGGAGTGGGAGCAGGAGGGAGGAATGGAGTGGGGGCAGGAGGGAGGAAAGGAGTGGGAGCAGGTGGGGGGGAAGGAGTGGGGATAGGAGGGAGGAAAGGAGTGGGAGCAGGTGGGGGGGAAGGAGTGGGGGCAGGAGGAGACAAAAGGAGTGGGGGCAGGAGGGAGGAAAGGAGTGGGGGCAGGAGGGAGGAAAGGAGTGGGGGCAGGAGGGGGAAAGGACTGGGGGCAGGAGGGAGGAAAGGAGTGGGGGCAGGAGGGAGGGAAGGAGTGGGGGCAGGAGGGAGGGAGGGAGGAAGAGGGGGCAGGAGGAAGGGGGGCATGGGCAGGTGGGGGTTAGCAAGGGAGGAGGGAGGATGTCGGAGGGAGAGGTTTCAGAAAAATGCAGGAGTGGAGGGAGGGCGGAGCAGTAAGCGCTAGAGGGGAAGGGGGGTTAGAAGTCGGGCAGAACCCTACAGTGTGTGAGGGGAAGCGTGTGGTTCTGTATTTGGCGGCGGGGCACACTTCACTCGGCAGGCTCACTGGCAGACGTCCAGCAGTTTCCACCCCCTCCTCACCCACCACCTCCTCACCCATCTCCTCACCCACCACCTCACCCACCCTCTCACCCACCTCCTCACCCCCCTCCTCACCCCTGCAGAGGTGCAATGAATGCCGCATGGCTGACTGGCTGACTGGCTGACTTACACAGATGCTCTTTTCTCTCCTTTCTTCTTTCAGTTTTTTTCATTCTGGCATCTCCCTCTCTTTCTTTACCCCACATTCTCTCTCTCCCTCTTCCTCTCTCCTTCTCAAACCATCCCCCCATTTCTCCTTTCTCTCATTCCCTTTCTCCCCAGAAACATATGTATTATTAACACACACCTCTGGCACCCACCAGAGACTGAGTCGAGGTCCGGGCCTGGCTCCTCCGCTACACATTTTAATCATCCATAATGACAGAGAAATAATAAATAAAAGTGGCCTGTTTGTTTGGGTGACATTAATACATTTATGTCTGACATATGTGCACACATATTAACAAGCCTTTACTGTTTAATTCTCTGCTATAGTTTACCAGAGAGTTTCTCTCTCTCTCTCGCTCTCTCTCTCTATCTCTCTCTCTCTAAACACTGCATGGCAGGAGTCTGAGGGAAGAGGCTCTGTCAGACTAGTAGCGTAGATGTGTGGGTAGGGAGAGGGGAAGGAGGGAGGAGAGAGAGAGGGGAAGGAGGGAGGAGAGAGAGGGGGGGGGGAGTCCCAGGTGACTAGGATGGCCTCTTTTCATCATCTGCTTCCGGTTGCCTTTGAACAAACACAGGGGCCGAGAGCAGAGATCTGTAAGAGGTCTACGGCTTTCTCTGCTCGCAGGGAGAAGAAGGGGAGATTAAAATGCTTTAAGATTATACTGAACCTTAAAAATCTCATTTGTTTTATCAGTCGTGACTCGAGATTAAAGGTAGTTTGTAATTGAAACTATCTGTTTGTTTACATTTACTTTGTTTACAAACATTGGAGTGAAACAAGCTTACATTTTGGGGTCTGATGGGGTATGACAGTTGAACTAAGCTGATAAGGCATTTATAAGTTATATTCTTCAAGAATCAATGGGTTCATTTGTGGTCCTCTGTAGCTCAGCTGGTAGAGCACGGCGCTTGTAACGCCAAGGTAGTGGGTTCGATCCCCGGGACCACCCATACACAAAAATAAAATAATGTATGCACGCATGACTGTAAGTCGCTTTGGATAAAAGCGTCTGCTAAATGGCATATTATATATATATTATTAATACAGAAGTCCAAAAATTGATGAAGCAACTGCAGATCGCCCCTTTAAGAAAGCTACAATAGAGCTTGCCAGCTTTTAGTCCTAAATACTGGAAATGATTTACCTCTGTTTTGTTCAGCAATTCCTATGAGCAAAATGAATAGAGAAAGAATAGGGTTTTGGAATAAATGCCGAAAATAAGATCTGAGGTTAACACAGGCTGAGGAGATCTTATACGTTTTATTCTATGAGATAATATCAGTCAGTTAACATGACCTTTATGAATTATGAAGACTTCATGTGCGTTGTGTTTTTTAATTACATAAATGCTTCAAAATTCACAAAAAGTGACGTTAGCTGATGAAGATTATCTCATAGAACAAAACTTATAAGATCTCCTAAGCCTGTGTGTACCACAGACCTTATTTCCGGCGTTTATCCAAAACCCTACAAAAACTCTATACATTTTAGTTAGTGCCTACAAAAAGTCAACATTGCTCTCTATAGGTACCTGGTAAATGATGTCACAAGCATATCAATAACTGTAGAGATATCGTAAGGTTAAAACTACATTAGATTCCTTTTTCTCATTGGTTTATTTATACTGGTGAACATCAAACAGAAACAACAGTTAAATCAAAAGCCGACTTCTCATATACTGTTTTGTGGCTTTCGTTTTCTCTTCACCGACAAGTCAATTTACAATGATTCTTAGCAAACAATGTTTTAATAATAGCAAAAAAACATGAAAATGGACCACACATCCTTTATCGCTCCTGTCATCCTGTCTTAGTTTAAACTCTCATATCAGATGGGACAATAAATCTATGAACGTAAGTCTTTATGTGTAATTACGTGATCAAATGTATTGATTCAAACAGGAGGGCAGTATTAAGCTCAATCGATGCCGATGGGTACCATGAATGCTGCATTGTGCTGTGTGTCTTCCCAAACACGTGTATGTGACAAATAAAAATTGATTTGATTTGATTTGGTGCGGCTTGATGAAAATATCCAGCTCTGTCATTAGAATAGATGGCACCATATTTCCTATATAGTGCACTACTTTTGACCAGAGTGCACTACAGGGAATAGGGTGCTATGTCAGACACAGCCTGGGTACACTCTGTTCTACACTTCTGTCTGGGGTGTTCTGCACATTCACATCCCTCCAAATGCCACCGAGTTGATTAAGACATGTCATCAGCCGTCTGGAAAACTGATGACAAGAAATATGTCCATTCATTGTCTACCCAGTGATTGTAATCACTTTAAGTAACAGGCAATGTTATAACTAGTATGATCATCCAAACTTTCTCTCCCTCTCTCTCTCTAAATAATGCTAGACTTCCAACTGCATTCAGTACCATGTGGACACTTACGGGTGTATAGCGTTATATGTTACACAACTTAACCATTTTTACATGAAGTTGCTTTATACATTTTTTGGTGCCTTTCGTCAGTTTTATCCAGTCAATATAAAGATGACTTTGAGAGGATATTTGCTTTAAGGTAGAAAAACAAATGTGAAACATTTGCCCTTTAAAACCCTGTTCGGCTGCCTTGTCTTCAGAAATATGAGAGGAATCTGTGGGTCTTGCAGACAAAAGACCACAGTAACTCTCTGAACAAGGCATATAGTCACTGTCTGCTCCACCACCGCCCACAAATCCAATCCAATAAAACAAAAACCCTATAAACCTGTAAAATCCCGATCATAGAGTGCTTTCGAGAAGCCTCTCGGATCGGGACAGCTTGTCTCTGCCTCTGCGTATGTTTGCCATTGCACTTTCCAACTGGGGCAGTTCTCCGCTCATGGACAGACTGCGTTTGGAGCGCAAACCCCCACCAGGCTTTGGCTGCTGCTGCTGTACCAGGCTGACGTAGCAGCACTCTTTGTATGAGTCCACGTTCAAAGAGTGCCGCCGGTTCACCCTCACGCCCCCTGCTGGCACTGTCATGTAATGGAGGGAGGAGGCTCCAGGGGGGCTTGGCCCCCTAGCGACCTTCGTCCATTTTGTGGAAAGGGCAGAAACAGCCACAGCCATTTTAGCTTCCGCTGAGTTATTCCGGTTTGTGTTCTCTAACTCCACATCTGTCTGGCCTTCGGTTCGGCAGGCTTCTCCCAGTTTCATACCGCCACTGGCCCGTTTTGGCCTCAGGGTGCCCGGGGAGGCAGGGTGCCAGGGGTGGCTGGCTGCGGAGGTAGAGACGGTGCAGTCGGGAATGGAGGGCTTGTTGGATGTGGTGGTGGTCGGGGCTGGGGGTCGCTGCTGCTTGACTGGCTCAGGGGGAGGAAGGCCCACCCTCAGACACTCCTTATCCTCCTTCTCTGGTTTCTCCGGACTGAGAATCTGCTTGGACAGAGACTTGGAAATGGACTTGGGGACGCCGCAGCCCTGGAGCTGACCATCACTGCTCAGAGACCGGATCTCACCCATTTCCAAAGCCTTATGAAAGAGAGAGATTTTATTGATCCCCCAGGGAGAAATGACCTCAACATTCATCATAAGATGTCCAATAACAACAGTCCAGAGACAGTAGCAACAAAGAAAAGAGCAATACTCAATACTCCTACCTTATCCTCATCGCCTTGGTTACAGACTCGGTACCTCACGATGAGGAAGATGATGAAGGCTAAGACGGACGCCACAATGATCCCTCCGATGATGACCACTATGGTCCCTCCCAGGAACTGGGACTGCATGAAGTGGCAGTGGAGGTACTGGGGATCGGTGGTGAAGCGAATGCACCCCACCACCCGCGTGGCGGTCAGGGAGGTCACCAGGTCGTCGTAGATGGCCAGCACACACAGGTCGTACTGTGTACCGGCAGCCAGGTTGTTCACCAGGATACTCTTACTGCTCGGAGGGATCATTCTGAAAACAGACAGAGAGAGAGAGAGATAGTGTATAATGAAAGAGGTGAGAGCATACTAGAGCGATTGCAGACCAATTATAAGTGTTCAGAGATGAGAGAATGTTATGTCTCGGATGGACTTGTAATGGAGTAACAGAATCACAATGATTCCAATGGCAAAATAAATAAAAAGTTGAATTGCTAATGTTTTGTGAAAGGGGTGAAAGATGAAAAATACTTAATTTAAATACTGGAAACTGAGATTTGTCTTTTTAATTTTTACCCAAGCCCCTGAGACACAAAAACACCCAGTGAGAAGTCGGGAAGCATGAAAGATGAAAGATTATATGCACACCCATTTCTCAGAAGAGGCAGTCACAATAAGTCCAATGGCTCAGTTGTTGGGCCATGGTGCTGTATGCTTGAAAGACCAGAGGTGTGTGTTTTTGATTCACAAATGGACCTCATAAACACAATGTATGTAGAGTATGTGTAGACCAGGCCTGTTCAATGTCAGTCCTGGAGGGCCAAAACACTTCTGGTTTTCATTCTTTCCTTCTAATAAGGAACTGATTCAGACCTAGAACACCAGGTGAGCTCAATTAACTACCAGGTAGAAACAAAAACCAGAAATGTTTCAGCCCTCCAGGACTGGAATTTAACAGTGTGTGCTAAATGGTCATATCGTATCATGAATATAAGCTTGAAATATGGAGTGAAAGGGTCTCCAGATGAAAGAGTCTTGTGTAGACTAGTTCCTCAGAAGAGGCCTGAAAGATCTTCTGAAGCTTTTTGTAACATACTGCTTTCTCTTTCATCTCGGCTTTGCCCTACAGCTCAGTGCTGACATTTTGTTTTCATTCTGTTGATTAGGTATTATCATGGGTGTACATGTTGTGTGTACTTTATACGTACTGCTGCCAACACACTGTTACCAAGGTGACTTTGTAAGTCACTGAATAAGAATGTCAGTAAATGAATTACTTTGCACGATTAGAGAAATAACTCATCATTCATGAGAATTTGCACATTTGACATTCATTTTAAACAACATAACAGCCGATCAACACCAATCAGGAACTAATACAAAAGACCATCGTGCCTGGTTCTTGTTAGTTCTCATTCTGCCTGGTTCTGAGAGTTGAAATGAGGCATCAATATCAATCATCAAGAACTCGGACTACTAAACAACTATTGATTTAGAACCACAGAGAGTTACCGCAAGTTGCAAAGAAAACAGGAGCTGCCTCCACTATTCCAGCACCATTTCAACTTCAATATTTCAACATCATCAAATCACCTATGCTTAGTCTAATACAGTGACAACTAAGATACCCTAAATAATTTTGTTGAATCAACATAAGCTAAATATGACAATGTATGAATTTATGGTTAGATCAGAATTGCCGTTATGGCCAGTATGGAGAATTAAGTAAAACCACAGCCAAATCCCTATCTCCATCCAATTTAGGAAAGGGGCGATTTTAGCTACAGTGGGGAAAAAAAGTATTTAGTCAGCCACCAATTGTGCAAGTTCTCCCACTTAAAAAGATGAGAGAGGCCTGTAATTTTCATCATAGGTACACGTCAACTATGACAGACAAAATGAGGAAAAAAAATCCTGAAAATCACATTGTAGGATTTTTAATGAATTTATTTGCAAATTATGGTGGAAAATAAGTATTTGGTCAATAACAAAAGTTTCTCAATACTTTGTTATATACCCTTTGTTGGCAATGACACAGGTCAAACGTTTTCTGTAAGTCTTCACAAGGTTTTCACACACTGTTGCTGGTATTTTGGCCCATTCCTCCATGCAGATCTCCTCTAGAGCAATGATGTTTTGGGGCTGTCGCTGGGCAACACAGACTTTCAACTCCCTCCAAAGATTTTCTATGGGGTTGAGATCTGGAGATTGGCTAGGCCACTCCAGGAGCTTGAAATGCTTCTTACGAAGCCACTCCTTTGTTGCCCGGGCGGTGTGTTTGGGATCATTATCATGCTGAAAGACCCAGCCACGTTTCATCTTCAATGCCCTTGCTGATGGAAGGAGGTTTTCACTCAAAATCTCACGATACATGGCCCCATTCATTCTTTCCTTTACACGGATCAGTCGTCCTGGTCCCTTTGCAGAAAAACAGCCCCAAAACATGATGTTTCCACCCCCATGCTTCACAATAGGTATGGTGTTCTTTGGATGCAACTCAGCATTCTTTGTCCTCCAAACACGACGAGTTGAGTTTTTACCAAAAAGTTCTATTTTGGTTTCATCTGACCATATGACATTCTCCCAATCCTCTTCTGGATCATCCAAATGCACTCTAGCAAACTTCAGACGGACCTGGACATGTACTGGCTTAAGCAATGGGACACGTCTGGCACTGCAGGATTTAAGTCCCTGGCGGCGTAGTGTGTTACTGATGGTAGGCTTTGTTACTTTGGTCCCAGCTCTCTGCAGGTCATTCACTAGGTTCCCCCGTGTGGTTCTGGGATTTTTGCTCACCGTTCTTGTGATAATTTTGACCCCACGGGATGAGATCTTGCGTGGAGCCCCAGATCGAGGGAGATTATCAGTGGTCTTGTATGTCTTCCATTTCCTAATAATTGCTCCCACAGTTGATTTCTTCAAACCAAGCTGCTTACCTATTGCAGATTCAGTCTTTCCAGCCTGGTGCAGGTCTACAATTTTGTTTCTGGTGTGCTTTGACAGCTCTTTGGTCTTGGCCATAGTGGAGTTTGGAGTGTGACTGTTTGAGGTTGTGGACAGGTGTCTTTTATACTGATAACAAGTTCAAACAGGTGCCATTAATACAGGTAACGAGTGGAGGATAGAGGAGCCTCTTAAAGAAGTTACAGGTCTGTGAGAGCCAGAAATCTTGCTTGTTTGTAGGTGACCAAATACTTATTTTCCACCATAATTTGCAAATAAATTCATAAAAAATCCTACAATGTGATTTTCTGGATTTTTTTCCCTCATTTTGTCTGTCATAGTTGATGTGTACCTATGATGAAAATTACAGGCCTCTCTCATCTTTTTAAGTGGGAGAACTTGCACAATTGGTGGCTGACTAAATACTTTTTTTCCCCACTGTAGCTAGCTAGCCACCGAAGGACAACGACACAATGAGATGCAACAATTCAAGTTTTTTCTGTTAATGATGTTTGGCTTGTGATTGGTGTGAAGCCAAATCCAAACTGGCTTCCCTTTACACTTTTTTTTGGGTGCGCCAGGACCATTCACAGTTGAGCTCACTCAGTTCAGCTCAACATTGATTGGCCAAATGTTCACTGGCTTTCCTTGCATTCAATGCTACGGGCGGCAACAATGTAATATTCTTTTTGAACAGACAGAATCAGATAGATGGCCTACACATACTGAGACAGAGGGGCCCTGTTTCGCTCACTCAGATGCTTTTTCTCTGGTGAGATACATTAAGCCTCTTGCGAATTGAAGGAAAATTATGAAACAGAGAGATGAAAGATAAATTATTGTCTTTCTTCTTGGTAATTTTTTTTGGGGAAGCCTGGCTTCCCTTGGCATCCATTAATACACGCCACTGCCTATATAAGCCAAGGCTCACCTGTAAACCAGAGAGTCATCGTAGGTACCGTTGTATTGGATCTGGAACATTCGGATGCCCGGTATACTCCTCTGGAAGTTGAACCTGACCAGGGCGGAGGTAGACGTGGCCTCAGCAATCACCACCTTCTTCTCCTGGCTCGTCTCTGTGTTTCCCAGTGGCACCACTTCTCTGCCTTCCCCACCACCACCCGTCCTCGTTACCGTGGCGATATCAGAAGAACCTGGGTCCGGTTCCTTCTCCACAGTACTGTTGGTAATGTGTGGGAGTTTGGCGATCACCAGGTCAACAGTTTGTTGGGCCTCCCCGGCCGGGTTGGAGGCAACACAGGTGAAGGAGCCTGATGGAGCGATAAAGAACATTTATTTTATTTTCAAATGAAGGGGGAAACTAAATGTAACAAGAGAACAGCGTTCATCAAAGGATAATTTTGATTCTGATTAAATGGTCTGAAAAATCAGCCTCAGCGGCTATTAAAACCCACAGCATACAAACAGAAACACTTAACATAATCACCATAACATACATTTATTTCAATGACACCCACCTGAGTCCTTCACAGTGCTGATGAGGATGTCCAGGGTCCCATCACTGTGCACCGCAGCCCGGGAGGAGTTGGACATGAGCCGGCCGTCTGGGGCGATCCAGTGGATGATGGGGTCTGGGTCGCCCCTGGCCTTACAGCGCAGAGCTACACTCTGACCCTCCAATGCTCGCAGCTCCTATATGGTGTTAGGGTAAACGATGTTACTTACTGTGATAATTATTGAATTATCACGATAAAAGCAGTTATCATGATTTGCAATAGCACGATAATCAATGTTAGGCAATCATTGCAATAAAAGCGGTTGTCTTGGAAAGGGATGACTTGATCAATATTCTATGAATTATCATGCTATAAAACAAAAGGTGTGTTCAGTGATATGCATGATAATGCATTTTTTGTCAGTTATCATGATACTGTTTTCACTGGGTTATCGCAATACTATTTACCAATGATGTGTTGTGACCCTATTTTCTCAGCCTTACCTGGGAGTGTCTGGTGATGAGAGGGGGCTCACAGAGGAACTCTTCTTCAGACACGGTCCAGAAGTACCGCCCAGCCAGGTGCTGCGGAGCCGCACATGTCTCCAGATCATCTTCCCTCCTCAGCCTCCTCAGCCACAGCAGCTCACAGTTACACCTCAGTGGGTTCCCACCAAAACTCAACGCAAATGACGATGGACCCATGCTCCCTGACGTGGCCAAGACGCCGGCCCGTTGGAACACTGGGTCGGGCGGAAGCTTCTGGAGCTTGTTGGATGTGACGTCAAGGCGTTTGAGCTTCTGCAGGCCGGAGAAGGTTCCCTCAGGGATGTAGCTAAGCATGTTGTGGTCCAAGCCCAGGGTGTGGAGGCTGGTCATTCTCTGGATGGCCACCCAGGGGGCGCTTTCTAAGTTGTTGTAGGACAGATCTAACTCCTCTAGAGCCGTGAGATCATTGAAGGCCCCGATGTGGATGTGAATCAGCTGGTTGTTGTTGAGGATGAGATGTTGGAGCTTGGACATCCCACTGAAGGTGTCGTTGGTGAGCCTCGTCAAACGGTTGCTGTCCAGATGCAAGGCTCTAAGGTTCTCCAGATCTTTAAAGGCGTGAGGTGAGATGGAGCCGATGGTGTTCCGAGACAACGTCAGGTCCTGCAGCTTGGTCATGTTGGCGAAGTCCCGCTGTTTGATGCTCGTGACGAAGTTGTCGCCCAGACGCATCTCCACGGTGTGACGGTCGATGTTGGGCGGGATGAAGAGGAGGCCCTTCTTGTCGCAGAGGGTTGCAAGGTTGGGGTTGAGCATCTGGCAGACACAGCGTTTTGGGCACACCTGGACCTTGTGGCCTTTTATAGCCATGCCAAGGACCATCAGGTAAACTAGCAGGGTCTCCATCAGGCTTTCCAGTCAGGCTAACACACCTGGACAGATAAGAAAGAGAAAGCATTTTAACATCCTACATCTTGAATGGAGATAACCCCAAGACACTGATCTAAGGTAATTTCCCCCCAAATAGGATACAAGAGAAAGTATTTTAATAACATGCAGTTGGATGAAGTTGCACCAGACTGATCCGAGGTCAGTTTTTTCTCCTGATAGGATGGGAGCATACACTGAAGTAGAGACCGGAGAGAAAATATTGTTTTCATTTATTTGGATACAGCTACTCTTCCTGGATCCTGGGGTCCACTCAAATCACAAAACAAAGCAATCATATACACCCACACAAAAACAATGAAGTAGAAACGAGAGAGACAGAATTGTATATGTTTATTTGGATTTCCATTAGCTGTTACTTTTTCCAGAGCTACTCCAAAGATATTTATAACTAACCCAAGATAGACCAGAACCTGTCGTTTCCAATGGGAGCCAATGAATCATAGTGGGCAGAACAAGCAAGGAGATGGGCAGAGCCAAGCATGAGCTAGTGAGATCCTATTGGCTTGTTCTAGCATTTATTTGCATATTTCCGTTAGGGAATGCCTACTCTGTGAAGTGCACGTGTGCAATAACTCAATTCGCCCTTGCACTCCTAAACAACACAATTTTTTGAAACTTTGGCAAAGGATAAAGTCTACAGAAAGCAGTCCGCTCTGTTTGTTACAGGTTCTAGTTTTGGAAACTGTATGGATATAAAATGTTTCATTGATGAGAATATTTGCAGAATGTCGGCCAAAATCCATCTCGTCCATCTTCTCCCAGTGCCGGCCACTGGGCTTCCTCTCATCACCATATTTGGTAGTGAGTGGAAACGCCAACCGGATGCTTCACATTTATACATCTGGTGAAATATCTGGCTTATTGTTCTATCTGTGGCTACTCTTCCTGGGGTTCTGTTGGTGTTACCTGTATCTAACCTATGCAAAGAATTTCGTTCTGGAAGACAAAGTATTCTCTTCTCTTCTAAGATGTCAATTGTACCGCTAGATGTGGTGAATTACCACTGACATAGGGAAGTGAAGGACACAAAGGATACTCAAAATACAATTTCTCAGCAGGGATCTGATTCTAAACAAACCAACGTTTGTACTAATCTGAAAGACTTCACTCTTTGTCGTTAATAAAAAAGATGACTGCAGATTTGGAAAGTTTAAAGACCCACAGAAGAATCTGTCTGTTTATTTGACAGCTACTCTCTGCCCTTGCTCTGCTTGCTCTGCTGATTCTTGTGTTTTTGATATAAAAAGGCCTTTTATCTCTGTGTATGGGGGGATGAAAGTCGAATCTGGTGGCCCAGTCACTCCTCAGAATTAGACGGATGTCTCTCCGGATCATATGAAGGCAATGGGACTGGATCAACCAACAGCCCAACCGACTCTGCGCTCATCTCGCTCATTCAAGAAAGGCAATCCTTGGCTATTGATTTCCTCACTGCTCTCTTCTGCTGCTCTTACCTAGGGCACAGCTGAGACGAGGGATAAGGATGGGACCATTTGATGAATCCTGAGATGATATATCCTTGTCAGGGATATAACATGTCATAAAGCTAAAGAGAATGGAGATTAGAGAGAAGAGAACAGTTCAGCAGGCAGTCTAGTAGTGGGGATACTGCATCTGGAGAGTTTGCCTAACGACACATGAAATACGGCTCATAATGGGTGAAATAACTCAATCTTATTGGCTACATGTAAACATGAATCTACCACGCGTGTCTCATGGCTCTTGATAAAGGGAGGAAGGTGCAAGGTCCAACACCCAAAGATCTCACAACAGTAATACAACTCAAAGCCTAAACTTTAGATACAGATAGTTATTGCTGTTTTATCATCGTTGGTTTCTGTGGTCTTGGTAATGTCTAAGGTTAAATGCCTGTGTCTTGAATAATTTGTCTGTAGAAATTTGGTAAAGGCCTGGAAGCTCTCCTGCCATCAAAAGATTCCCACTGGGAAAGAAATGGATGAATCAACGTTGTTACCACGTCATTTCAACCAAAAGAACTCAACCAAATGTATATCAAAACTAGACGTTGACATGTCTGTACCCAGTGGGTTTTCTCCACCTGCAGCTTTTGATACAGAATATGTGAAATAATAACCTTAACTGTCAAAGGAGTTGAGGATTGTGAAGAATGTCTCAAAATTCTTTGAATGTGTCAGAGAAGGAAGAAATCTGCAGATGGAACATGAGTAACATGTCAATTCAACATCTATTCCACGTTTGTTCAACATAATTTAAATGAAATGACGTGGAAACAACGTTGATTCAACCAGTGTGTGCCCAGAGGGAGGACTCGTTTGTGTGGTAAGGTGAAAGCAACCGACTGTAGACAAAACACGAGGAGTGAAGTCGGGACAGGTGCATCTGCGACAGCTGAATGTCAGACACTGATGTGGTTTTCCAACAGCAAGGCTCAGTGCAACATGGCAGTGTTGCCATTGTTTATATACGTTTTTCTTTGTAATGTTGAAAATAAACATGTCTCCAACCCCCATATCACACACTCACAAACTGTAAATATACAGTACATTCGGAAAGGTTTCAGACCCCTTGACTTTTTCCACATTTTGTTACGTTACAGCCTTATTCTAAAATGTATTAAATTGTTTTTTTCCCTCATCAATCTACACACAATACCCCATAATGACAAAGCAAAAACAGGTTTTTAGACATTTTTGCACATTTATTAAAAATAAACAACTGAAATATCACATTTACATAAGTATTCAGAGACTTCAGTACTTTGTTGAAGCACCTTTGGCAGTGATTACAGCCTCGAGTCTTCTTGGGTATGACGCTACAAGGTTGGCACGCCTGTATTTGGGGAGTTTCTCCCATTCTTCTCTGCAGATCCTCTCAAGCTCTGTCAGGTTGGATGGGGAGCATCACTGCACAGCTATTTTCAGGTCTCTCCTGAGATGTTCGATCGGGTTCAAGTCCGGGCTCTGGCTGTGCCACTCAAGGACATTCAGAGACTTGTCCCGAATCCACTCCAGCGTTGTCTTGGCTGTGTGCTTAAGGTTGTTGTCCTGTTGGAAGGTAAACCTTCGCCCCAGTCTGAGGTCCTGAGCGCTCTGGAGCAGGTTTTCATCAAGGATCTCTCTGTACTTTGCTCCGTTCATTTTTCCCTCGATCCTGACTAGTCTCCTAGTCTCTGCCGCTGAAAAACATCCCCACAGCATGATGCTGCCACCCATGTTTCACTGTAGGAATGGTGTCAGGTTTCCTCCAGACGTGACGCTTGGCATTCAGGCCAAAGAATTCAATCTTGGTTTCATCAGACCAGAGAATCTTGTTTCTCATGATCTGAGAGTCTTTAGGTGCCTTTTGGCAAACTCCAAGCTGGCTGTCATGTGCCTTTTACTGAGTGGCTTCGGTCTGATTGGTGGAGTGCTGCAGAGATGGTTGTCCTTCTGGAAGGTTCTCCCATCTCCACAGAGGAACTCTGGAGCTCTGTCAGAGTGACCATCGACTTCTTGGTCACCTCCCTGACCAAGGCCCTTCTCCCACGATTGCTCAGTTTGGCCAGGCAGCCAGCTCTAGGAAGAGTCGTAGTGGTTCCAAACTTCTTCCATTTAAGAAGGATGGAGGCCACTGTGTTCTTGGGGACCTTCAATGCTGCCGAAATGTTTTGGTACCTTTCCCCAGATCTGTGCCTCGACACAATCCTGTCTTGGAGCTCTACGGACAATTCCTTCCACCTCATGGCTTGGTTTTTGCTCTGACATGCACTGTCAACTGTGGGACCTTATATAGACAGGTGTGTTCCTTTCCAAATCATGTCCAATCAATTTAGTTTACCACAGGTGGACTCCAATCAAGTTGTAGAAACATCTCAAGGATGATAAATGGAAACAGGATGCACCTGAGCTCAATTTCGAGTCTCATAGCAAAGGGTCTGAATATTTATGTAAATAAGGTATATTTTTTGTGTGTTTTTTAAAATTAGCTAAACATTCTAAAAACCTGTTTTCGCTTTGTCATTATGGGGTATTGTGGGTAGATTGATTAGGAAAAATGTTGATTTAATCAATTTTAGAATAAGGCTGTAACGTAACAAAATTTGGAAAAAGTTAAGGGGTCTGAATACTTTCCGAATGCACTGTATGTGTGTACATTGTACTATCATTTGGTGAGAGAGAGCCTCAAAAATCACATTCAATTTTTATCCCCATAATGCAACACACTTTGGAAGGCTTGACAAAAGTGATCCGATCGAACGCGCCCAGATACCGAGGCCTGGTGGCAACATGGTGACAACACCTGTCATCTGACAGCTGTAAAACACATCATCGTGGCGTGATGACTCGGAGGGGGCAGCCGATAATAAAAACGGGAACACAGTGATATCATTTTAGAGAGAGCAGAGCATACACTGTCTCCCTGGTCTGACATTCCAATGAACACCGCTGCTATGGCTACGATACATCAAATTCCCTTAGAGAACAGGTTTATGACCCTGTTTTACAGGTTATTTTACCACTACTGAGTACAACAGTCATAGAAATGTGTTGACTCCCTGTCCTGTGTTGACTGCTCTGGTGGCTGGTGCCGGTGAGAGGGGAGAAGTAGGCCTAGCAGAGAGGTCAGAAGTAAAGTTAATGACAAAAGGACTGTGGTGTAATTGTTAAATGGGCATGTTATGACTCCTTAAGCATGGCAAACGATCTTGACCCAAACTGAGGAATGACGGCTGGTGGTGTGTGGGTGTGCTTGGTGTTTGTGTGGTAGTGGTTGTGTGTATATAAGGGTTTGCGTGTGTGAAAGAGATATAGCGAGTTAGTATGCGTGTGTGAGTGTGTGTTTATGTGTGTGTGTGTGCCAACCAGCCTTCTGCTGTGGATGGCACGGCCTCTGGATGTGCAATGAGGCGGAGCAGACCTGCTACTTCCCAACTCAAACGGCACTGGAGACGTGATATTGATTCACCCCGTAGAGATCTGGCTTTTTTCACCAGT